AGTCTTTGCCAGTTGATAAAATAAGAAGTAATTTTATATTTGCATATTGCTCGACTTGTCATTCTGCCCAAGGCAGTAGCATTGATGATACCATAACAATTTTTGATTATAACCATTAGAATGGATATGGACTGCAATTACAAGGTGTAGAGATTTAAACAATGTCAAATTTTATAAATATACGAAAGATATTGATGATGTATTTATTCAAAAATGTATTATGAGTTATTTTGAAAGGAAAATATTAAATTACAAAGAACAAGACAGGAAAGCCAAAAGAACAATACCTAAAGAAGGTTATGTAAATGCGCAATGGTTTTTAAATAATATCACTAACCAATGTAATTACTGCGGATACGGTTTTTCTATGGATATTAAAAACGGTAATATAATGACAAATCTGACAGCGCAACGTAAATCAAACGAGTTGTCGCACGAACTGAATAATATTATTCCTTACTGTGTTAGGTGCAATTGTAGCTGTAAACGATAATAATTTAAATAACAATTTTAATATTTCTTGAAAAAAAATGTATTTAAAGAAATAAAAACTATATATATATATTATAATAGAAATGGTAGAAACCGAAATCAATAATTATATAAATAAGAAATGCTACGACTGTTGCCACTTCAAAAAAAAAACATGGAATTATATAAATTGAATTTACCTAATGGAATAGGTAATATTATTATTGATTATTCTTTGGGTAAAGAACATATATGTAGAACATGTAGAAAATGGAGATCCAAGAAGCAATCGAATATAATTTGGACATTAAAAGGTTTAATGAAAGAAATGTTGAAGATGACATTTTGATATTTTTAACTGTGTATGAAATACCACCTTATGATTATGTTAAAGCATTTCTTGAAATCAGTAAGAACAAGTATGAAATTATTGACTACATATTATGGGCATTGATTTGTCAAGGATGGGGGATTGATGTAAAAAAAAATCATAAAATCATATATTGAAAATGAACAGTTTAATGTTAAAACTATGGTGATAGATATTAATATTATTTTTAAAATGATGTATGAAAGAGGTAAGATATATCAATTAAATAGTTATCCTGAACTGAAATTATAATCGTACTATAATAATATGTAAAATATTATATGTTATAATTATATTTCAATATTTAATTTTATTTCTTGTAAAAAAGTATTTAAGGAAATAAACACTATATATTATAATAGAAATGGTTGAATTTACAGAGAAAGAGCAAGAAGAAATTATTAATACATTATTAGATATTGTTTTAGTAAATGACACTAAACAAGAACTCAAAAATAAATGTGATGCTTGTAAATTTAAAAACTACTTAAATCATAACAGATATAGAGACATTGGACACATAAATTTACCAAATAATATATTAAATCATATTTACAAATTTACTTATAAATGTATTTTCTGTCAAAGAAGAGAGGAACCAATCCGTGAAATTGAATATGTACAAAATCATAATGTCGAATTCTTGAACAATGCAAATATAAAAAACTGGCTAGTTGTTATACAATGTAAATTTCCAGATAAAAGTAGTTTTCCTAAAATGTCTAAACAAAGATATAATTTAATGAAACGTATTTATGTTTTTTCATTTACAGTATTATAATGGACAATCAACAACAGAGTTAAACATCAAAGAATTATTTAGAAAGGCTGGCTTCAGTCGAGTCAAAAATTATCAAGAACTATATGCCATTACAATAAAAATTAAACACGAATGCAAAATGAAATACAGCCCCGATTTTTAAATGTTTATAATCATACTATAATAATAACATTTATGCCCTTATATGTTATAATTATAATGTAAGTATAGCGTTTTATATATTGAAGATAAAATCCTACAAGGAGCACCACGCGCAACTTCGGAATATCCAAATGTTGAAAAATGTTTAATTATTAAGTATCCTCATTGAATTATTGAAAATGTTGTTTCTTATTGAATAATTCTTCTTAAAATGCTATATATATTTATCTCTTTTGAAAAAAATATATTGTCTGAAATATTTTGGAACATATATGTTTTGAAAATGAAAATGTTTAGGTGTATTGGATTTTTCAAAAAATAATTCAATTTTCGTTTTGGTACGCTGTACTAAACAAATATTTATCAAAATGTGTTGAGACTGTTTCAAAAAATGTTTTAACATGGCTGATTTGGGGCGCTTATTCAAAAAATGCAAAAACAACCTAGGGTGGACCCTGGACTTTTGAGTTCGACAAAAGTTGCGCATGGCCAGTCCTAACTGAAAACCCCCCCCCAAAAAAAAAAAAAAAACGACCCTGGAAAAGGTTGCAAAAGTTGAAAAGTGAGTGTTTCGTCATTGAGGCCATCTCACTTCCGATCAAGTGGAGTGGCCACACAAATTCAAGAGCTCTGCTGTTTAAAATGAGCCAAAGCCCAAGAGTGACTATTCAGGTAACCCCGAACTAGTGATTACGATTGATGACTTGGGAGAACCACCCCGAACCTCCAAACCAATGCAAACCACTAATTAGAGGGAAACTGAAAAAGTCCAAGAACTGGGGAAAAATGGAGAATCCACAGTTGTAAATCCTCTCAGCGCTGAGAAGCCGACGTACTGCCAGGGCCATTTTCAGAGGTTGATGGGTGGTGCCCATGTCTTGCCAGCGAGGCATACTGATCTCGTCCTGCAGATCGAGCCGAACGCTCAAGCAATCGACTTGCTGATAAGACAGCCAACTTGCCAAGTTTGCCTCTCCTAGTCAATTCCACTATGTTGCTCCGAAATCCTTCTCTAAGGGCAAACAATGGCGCCGGATGAACGGAAACCAAAGGACACTAATCGGATTTTCCCCATAAGGTTTGGTATTTATTGAAAGCCAAAGGGGCAACCCTGCAAACTGCTGATTCCTAAGCGCTCTTGGTTCTTGGAGGTCCCCCGAGCCTGAAAGACTCCCCCTCAACGGGGCATCTGCCTGTCAATCAATGGGTGCTTTCATCCTGGTGGTTGGCGGTGAGGTAACTTCCCATTGGGTTTCGAGAGGAAGGGGGGTTCAAATCTAACCACCATACTGGCTGCCACAAGCAGGCAGTGCTTTGCAGTAGATTCAGCGGCTTCCATTGGTGAAAGGCGAACAACTATTGCCCAGTTCCCCGCACAACGGGTTCTTTATCCGCTCGACCCCTCCCTAACATGGCACCTGACAAGGGGTCTCTTCAAACGGAACTTGATCTTCAAGGTATTCAGGGCATCCCAAACTAATCTGCGTTGGGGCTAAGTGGGGCTCTTTGGCTGGGATTTCTTGCTGGTCTCTGGCTCCCGGGCTCGCGCATCTATAGTCCAAATAGGTATATTTGCTCTTGGTTCTTGAGGATGCCCCCCTTTTTGCGGGTCGCTTTTTCAGGGCAACCAAAGGACCACCAAACTTGATTCTTTCCACGACAACTCGTCAGTAGAACTCAGCTACGTCATTCGAATCGCGCCTGCATGGAGTGGGGCTGCCAAGGCTCTGCCAGCAGAAACTGAGGCAACGAGCCATGCTCCTCCTCGCGTTTCGTTTTGTCCTCAGAAATTCCCATGAGACCCTGTTCAGCTTTGGGACCCCATTTCAACACACACCAATTGTTTGAGTACCCTGAGGTAGACTTTTACCTAAGGTTCGGTCATGTCCGCCAAAAGAAGAATCCCCGGGTTTAAGTCTACCAAGTCTACCTTTGGAGTACTCCAAAAAATCCAACCCTAACTCCAAGTCTCCAGTGGAATCCATCCTTTATCCAAAAGACATGATCCTAAGTCTTCTGACTTTGCCTCAACTCTCCAGACCTGCGCGATGTCCACATACTGTCGAGGTGTCGGGGGCTTCAAATGCGGCGCCTGGGTTGCTGGAGGCCGGCCCAGAAAGGAACTGGCAGAGAAATTTTGCATTTTTCACGCGTGTTGTTTAAGGGTACCCTGGTCTGGGGTCCGGTTTAAAGGCGGACCAAGAGAAGAAACAAATGACTTTTGCGGTCTCCATATTTTGACACATACCCATATATTGAAACACGGATCCTAAAGGGAAGCAAGGTAGTAACAGCGCTGCAGCTCATTAACTTCCCTGGAAAATTCGTACCCACAGCTCACCACAATCCAAAGCCACAATCAAAATCAGTCTACCTAAAGCAATGTGAAGTGAAAAGGCGGATATCGGCGCACATTTGTGGTTTGAATCACTTTTGGCTCTCGCTGACCTCACCCGCCTGAGTGTCTGTGTATGTGTGTCCAACTAGGGACTTGCACCCCCTAAATGGTATGGGGCGTTCAACGTGTGGTTCCCTTGAGCCAATCCCCAAAAAGGGTGGCCCTGGCAAAACGGAAACACGCCATGTTTGTGGTCCCCCGGTTTCGCCACGGTTTTTGGTGGCCCATTTCGGGCGTTCAAATGGCACGTCGCGAAGCCCCGACGTCCGTCCGAGGCTTCGGCGATGCCGAAGACCCGCGGCAGCAGAGCTTCGGATATCACCACGGAGGCGACGGCCTGGCGCAAAGCGCCGCTGGCGCTGGGGCGCTGGCGTGGAGCGATTGGGACGGGTTTTGGGCACCGCCATAAAGGAAACCTGGAGGTATGACTGGATTTCATGACCATGGCTATAGTAGGACCCTTATAAACCATTTCAACTCAAAGCGCTTTTGAAGGAGGATCCCATAAAATGCTTGATTGATTGGCACTTCAAAAGGGTGACCCGCTAGCAACATAAGGTTGCTATTGCATCTGCAAACCAGAGCTATCGTAAGGCCTAACATCATCGGTGTAATTCAATTCACTTGTTGAACAGGGAATGCCTGGAAAATTGGGGTGGTGCTACCCCTGTTGGCGCCCATTCTTTCGTGGTGCCTTTGTACTTTGTGCGTTTGTGCGTGCGTGCGTGGGTGGGTGGGTGTGTCTGTGTTGGTTGCTGGTCCCCTTTCAGGAGCCAGACCTAAGAAACAACCAGACCTGGAAAACAGCCTCCCCCCGATTAAGACAATCAAGATCTTACTTCCGAGTCCCACAAGTCGCAGGCCTCCGTGAGCTCGGGCATCCTGAGCTGCAGCAGCTCGCCGATGTGCGCCAGGGTGTCCTGAAAGATCAGCCCCGTCCAGCGAAATCGATGGGGCTGATTTGCAGGGTCACAAAGATTAAGTGCGTCTGGGCGTTTTTGTCAGAAGCTGCGGTTGAGGATCCCGGCCCAAGGGCTAGGCACTCCCCAAAGCACACCACCGCCCACCCCAACCACACCCCCAAAACAAGCTAGAATTATACCAACACCGGGCTGTGTCTTTGCTTCAGAATATATACGCAAAGAAAGGCTTGCACTCCTACAGGGTAGCATGGAACCTAGACAAAAACGTCTTGTTTTAAAGGAGCCTCCTTATGTGGGGCTCAACATCTTTTTGGTTCCTTCCGTGAATTTGCCGGAAAGCCGAAAGGACTCCCTTTGGCCATGTCCGGGTCCCATTTCCACCCCTCAGAGCGCCTCCTCGAGCTCCAAAGCGGCACGGAAGGAGTCCCTCTCTCCACGCTGCACCGCCAGAGTCATGGAGGCCTGGGATGTCGCTCACCCGAAGGCGCTTTACCCGAAGCAGGTGTCGTTTTCAGGTTGGAACCCCAGAAAATGGCGTCAGTTTTCCTTTGGCAAGGACAAAGAGTACCAACCCCCACAAAGGACAGACCCAAGTGAGTGTCCATTTCACCCGGCTGACCTTTGGTTCTGGCTATAAAGTTTCTGCAAGTTTTACATAATCCCGACTACCCGCTAGAACAGACAATGTGGCTTTTGGGCGCTGCTCAAGTGGAAAGAACACGAAACTCAAGCAAACACACCACTCCGCAAACAAACCAACACAGTCTGTGCACTTGTTAGTTGGTGAGTGGGTAACCCCAGGACAAGGACATCCCTATGAAAGGAACCTCTAAGACTCTAAGAATAGTAATGAATACCCTGGCACCCCCATGAAAGGAATCCTCAGCATTGGAAGGTTGGGGCATACTTGACAGGTACTTGTGTTGGAGGGTTCTTGGAATGCATGTGTTTCGCTCTGGTGGAAGCACGGTGGCAAGATTAAATGGTATGACTGAACATGCAACATCAGTTTGTTCATGTTTATCCAAATGCAAATGGCACATGGGTATGTCAAAATACAGGGACCGCCTACATGGGTGATGGTTCTCTTGGTTTCGCTCTACAACCACCCCAAAATGGTCCTCAAAAAGAAAAAACACCATAATGGAAAAGTTGGAGCATGGTTGCGATGATTCATTCAGCAAGAGTTCTCAGCTCCTTGAGCCCAAACCCTAGCTGCTGAAGCCGGAAAAGCCGGCTTTCAAGTACTTTGGGAAATTTGGGGCAGCTCATTGATCTTCCAGGACGCTGAATTGGCCTTTGAAAAATGGCTGATCCTCTTTTGAAACCAAACGGAACATCAAAAATTAACAAAGACCCTCTTGGGTTGGGTCGTTGGAAGGCCTTAGACGTTTCCGCGATACCAAAGTGGCATTCCAATGTCTGCGACTATGGATTCAAGTCTCACAGAAAAGCAGCAACCTAAAGCCAACAAATTCTCTCAAACATGCCTATACCCAATATATCTACAAGTAAGTCTTTGGAGGAGCCTTGAAGATGCAGGCATTGGGGTCAAACACTGGGTCACATTTATGGGTATGCGTCAAAAGTCAAAATCGCGGGACCTCCAAAATTGTGTTGGTTTCCCTTCACCTGACCTGAACGACTTATCACACAGCACTCAACGTGGAGGGCCCCTAAAATGGTTGGCTTCCTCTTCGTTCCCAGCACTAGGACAAATCTTTTCGGTTGCTCCTGCGATTTACCGCCTCGGACCCCAGACGATCTGAGCCAACGGCCCAGGAAGCACGCAAACTGTCTGTCAGTCGTGGAATTTCTTGGGCATGCGTCACCTGCCAGGCCCTGAAAAAAGGGCCAACCCTTTTTGGGACCCTGCCCGGTAGAACAAAACCCTTTCTTCGAAATGACAAAGCTCATGGTTGTGCAAAGCAAACAGTGCGCTACCAACGTGCTTGATTCCCATGGCTACCGTATCAGCGAGCAAGAGCCAGGGCTTCACATCCCCAAGCCACCAAAACCTTAGGGCTGACCTGACACGTGATGCCCGCCAATTCGGGCCCCGAAATTCAACTTCACACCCATGAAATCCGGATGAAGCCTCAGGCAAAGGATGAATCCGCCTCGATCGTAGCGTTGCGCACCTGGTCGTTCTCCAACCGAAGCAAACCTCGCAAAGCGCAATGGCGCCGACAACCTCCAGTTCCAGTTGCTGTGGAAGGACAGAACTTGGCCCGCAAAAATGGGCGTGCACAGAAAAACATATGTGCAAATTGGGGGGGCGGGATCCCCATTTTCTGTGATCCTAGGGACGCCTTCTGGCAAAAGGATTGAGGATCGATTTGAACAGCCCAGGCCTAGGCCCTTCTTTGGGCGGGTCCATCCCAGTGCATCTGGGTAACTGAGCAGGACACACACCCTGCCGAGCCACAGAGATAGGCCGTTCTGGCGGAGGTTCGCACCATGTGATCCTTGTGGGTCGCCATAGAAGTGGCCTACAGGCGAGCCCGCCCTCACATGGGCTGTCTCAAAGAGAATTTCCAAGACAGGATGTGAAATGCTCGCAAAATACCATCAAGCCATGGTCACGCTGGTTGTCTGACTGTCTAACTTTGGAATAACGGATCAGTGCAACCATCTGCATGTAGCCATGACTGCAGGTCTTTTGACAATAGGAAGGGAACCCTTCTCGGGTGGCTAAGGGGAAACCTGGGGGGTTAAAATCCTATCGCAGACACCCATGTTACAGTTGCAACATCAACAAAATGGCAGAGCTCAACCACCCAAGCTCCTGCTGGAAGAGGGGGAAGATGCACTTGGACCGTGCCTGGCGAAAACAAACGCAGGTGTACGAGACCACAAACATTGGGACCTGGGCAAATTACTTCTGGCTTCCTGTTCAACACCCAAGGGAGGGCTCCCAGAACAAAGCACTAAGCAACGACAAACATCTGGACAAATTACATTTCCCAGACTGGATGGGCTCGCTTCTGGGCTCGTGATTTGCGCAGATCCGGATGGGTTGCGAGGTGCCGAAGGACAAGCAGTGACAGCTCAAAGGAGTCCCAAGGAAGGAGCCTTCCTGATCGGAACATGGCGCCAAACCTTGGCGAGGTCGATGCAACGTGCCCGGGAAGTTGATATATGATAACCTTGCCAGGCAACTCAGGCAACTAGGAGAATGTTTCAGTCACTGGAAAGTGATCATTCAGCAAAATGATTAAATATGACAGCTTCCGTGAAAGGGAAGCCCCAGCGGACGTTGGAATCAGCTCCAACATGTCTAGACAGGCGGCTCAACCCAGATCCAACTGTGCCGCAAAGCCGCGGAGTGAAGCTCATACTCCCTGCCCATATGCCAACTTGGTGACTTGGCTTGGGATGTAGCTGAAACCTTCGTGGGATGTCGGGGGGGCTCAAATCGGCAAAGACCGGCCAACCCCCTTGAATACAAAGCTTCATATGGGCCCTCAGCACAATTCCCACGTACCCTTCTTGAGCTTGCGTAAGGAAATGTAAGGGTGTGCCAAAATTCAAAACAAACAACATGGCCCCATGCCAATCCCATGCACCATAAAAGACGACCTTCCGTGTCATACTTGTTCAATGTTCACCAGCGCATCCAGCGAGGTCATTGGTGGATACAGCAAGCAAGGCAATTATACAAACAAGTGAGGTGGATGCCGAGTACGTGCATGATGAATTGAATGTCACCGAAATTCCGAACACGCAAATCGTGATGCTTGAAGGAAAGCATCAGCAAAGATCCCTGCACCCCCAAACACCAAATACCAAGAACCTGTGGAAAGAAAAGCTTAGAGTGGATGTGTCTAGACTCTTTTGATCAGAACCCTTGCAAGTCTTCTCCTGTAGGTTTGGCAACCCCACGGGCAACAATTCAACACAATCCCAACTCCATCACTTCTCTCGGGTCTTTGGGCCCCGCCCCTGGCTGTTTTTCTTAAGTCAAACAGCCCCCAACTTGCAAACCCGCTAAACGAAAGCGAACCCTCTGTCAACTTCCTCGCGTTTCACCCGGAAAACCAACTCCCTGAAACCAAACTAAGCTCTAAACCAGGAACACCCCAAGGCAAAACCCTCACAACCCATTAACATAAATCCTAAAACCCTTACCTAGACCCTAAACAACGCAGATCTAAACCTTAAACCTCCTAACCTAAACCTTGAACCCGTGACGTGGTTCCGATGTCGGGCTGAAAAGCAAACGAGTTTGCCCCTCGAAAGTATTGGCTGAAGGTTCTGAAGGACAGTAAGCAAGAATTGTTTAGTTCAACCACTGACCTGTAGAACAATACTCAATCTTAGCTTAAATGAATCTCTCATTTTGTGAAGAGAACCCTACCGTATTTGGGAAACCGCGCTGGCCCCTCACCAAAAATATGTTGAATATAGCAGCCATATCAACTCAACCTTGCAATGTTGGTCAACAAGTATCTCCATACTTGCCGTTTGAACAGGCCATCAGCAATCACTTACGCAGTGAGCTTAAATCACCCGAACAGAATAAGCCAACTTGTTGCTACTCTTAGAAAAAGATGATGATTAACCCCTTGGGCCATGGACACTGCTTCCAATGTGGTTAAAAGTGGTCTGTTTGGCTTTCCCCGTGTTGGGGGCGTAGGGGGTAAGAAAATAATTTATGTAGGGTCCTGCAAGCACAGTACTCACATTTCTTGGGTGTTTGGGGATTTTTCTAAAATGATGCATCGCTGGAAAGAATGAGGGAACTTCAGCTAGAATTGTGTGAAAGCCAGGGCCACTTGCATGGTTGCCACTTGCATGGTTCCTCTCAAAATCCCCTCTTTGACTTTTCACCTGAGCATCTTGGGAATCTTGGGTCCTGCAAAAAAACACGTCAACAAAGGCTCTGACGCCTTCAAGAGGGTCCAAAGATGCTTGGGATGATAAGCACTGACACCAAACGCTGACGTGTTCAGACCTGCAGCGCCACTAGGAACTATGACCCATCTTGATACTACTGTACGTTCCACCCCCCCCCCCCACCCCCCCCACACGAGAAAAAGGCTCCTGATTGTCTTTGTTGGATCTTGAATTTACAAGGGGGAATGCACTGCTTGCCCTCCAAATCAACCCCAAGAAGCTAGAATCCCTGCAGATTATTATGGCACCCCGAGATCATCCGTTTTTGAAGAACCTTCCTTTTGTAGGAACCCCTTTTTCCGTTCCTTGCCAATTCTAGGGGGGCACGGGATTAGTTGAACCAAACCCAAAAAGGATACCCTCAGCCCAAACTTGGGCTTCCCTCTAATCCCCTTTACGTGATCGACGTTAATTTGTAGGGGAGCACTGAGTACGGATGGAGTCGAATCTAGAATCCCTGCAGATTATTACGGAACCCCAAGATCATGCAATTTTAAAGAACCTGCCTTTTTTAGAACCCTTTCTTGTGTTCCATGCTATTTTTAGGGGAGCACTGGTTTAGTTAAAGCAACCCAAAAAAGAATACCCTCAACCCAAACTTTGGCTTCAAAGATCATCCAGTTTTAGAGGACCTTCCTTTGTAGGAACCCCTTTGTGTGTTCCATGTTAGCTTGTAGGAGTGTACGGGTTTAGTCAAACGAAACCAAAAGGGATACCCTCAACCCAATCTGTGGTTTCCCTCTAAGTCAATCCCAACAAAGGATCCCTGAAGTACAAATTGACAAAGAAGGGGGGCAAAGAACGACTTGATAAAGATAGGGCCCTCAAAGCATTACAGGAGGGGATCCTAACCTTTTTGACGTTGGTTTAACTGGGACCAAAGATTGGGTTGAGGGTATATTTTTTGTTTATGGGTTGGTTTAACTAAACCCGTGCTCCCCTAGTAGCCTAAGATTAGCATGGAACACAAAAAAGGGGTTCCTACCAAAGGAAGGCTCTAAAAGCATGAATGATCGTGGGGGTCCATCTACTGCATTTTTAGGGTTGGTTTGGAGGGAAATCAAACTTTGAGTTGAGGGTGCCTTTTTGGGGCTTGGTTTGACTACGTGCGTACTCTGTACCCCTCCACAAGTTAACATGGAACACAAAAAGGGAATTGAAGGGAAACCACTTAACCAAACCGTGCTCCGCGAAAATTAGCATGGAACATAAAAAGGGCCTTTTCGGGTTGGATTGACTACATCCGTACTCAGTTCTCCCTTCAAATTAGCATAGAACACAAAAAGGGGATTAGAGGGAAACCAAAGTTTGGGTTGAGGTTATCCTTCTTAGGGCCTAGAATTGGGATGGAACGCAAAAAGGGGTTCATACAAAATTAAGGTTCCTTAACAAATGATGATCTTGGGGTTCCACATTACATGACAAGGAAGGGTCCCAAAGTACAAATTAACAATGAAGGGGGCCCCAAAGACATTTCCAGTTTTTGATGAAACAACCTCAAAGGGTTCTTCTGAGACACCATTTGCAAAGCTCATATTTTTAGAAACCAGCCTTTCATGCTAAAAATTAAACCAACAGATACCATGTTTAGTTTCCCCAAGCTATTTGTGAATGCGTGCAAGCATGCCTACTGAATGTGTAATGTAGCTGTTCGTGGGGTGAGACCCACTCAGCGAAGCCCCAAGTGAGCCCCCTAGCCCATCCCAAGCCAAGCCACTTCGGAGGCCATCCATGGCTCAGCTACAGGCAAAGAAGCAACAGCAGTCATGGACAGTCTACACTAATGTTCGGCAACAACCAAACACTCCCCATTGAGTACATACAAAATGTGCATGCCGTTGAACACACAGATCAACAGTGCCGAAAACACTGGATTAAAAACATGGCCAGCTATATGAAAGCCAGTTGGCCCTGAGACAAGGCCAACAAATCATGTGCCTTTACTCTTGAGTGCTAGTGCCGACACGTTGTTCAATTAAGAAGTTCCATTACGCCTATTTTGAGAAACACCCAGCTGAAGAGCACACCTTTTGCCACATCTGTCACACACCAGGTCTAGCTGGACCCTTCTTCACGTGACGGATTGACTCAGCTTAGCCCCCAAATGCCCAACGGCGTATTTCCCACCGAAGCGGGCGTTCCCAATCAACAGGTCTAGCACCCTGGCTCGGCCAAACCCCAGAAAACCTCAAGTATAGCAGGGGCAAAGTAACACAAGAAGCCAAATAACAACTGTGCTCATGTTATCCCATGATTTTGATGTTGCTTTTCAAATGCCGCTCGCCTCGATAGTATTTCGATCAATAACAACCTCCTTCTGGACCCAACCCTGGCTTTGACCTCATAAAAAATGAAACTGTGAGCGAAGGTGTCCTTTTGGAAACATAGATGGCAATAAATGGGGCAAACAACCAAGCTCAAGCCAGGGAAACCCATCGCAAATCCGCGCCTCGGTGCAGCAGAATGTTCTGGACAAAGAAGTTGAGGAGGTGGGTTGTGACCAGCTTGGGCACGTGTGCAAGCCTCAACGTTCCAAACAAGTTATGTTTGGCTAACTAAGTATGCAAACACGCGAGGTTCA